CTACTTCCTAGAGTTTGGGAGGCTGTAAGTCTTTATAAGAACAGAAAGATTCTTCTTCCTCCCACGCGATGGCTGGTGGATTTGAACCCCTGACCTTGTGGCTAGCAGCCCAATGCTTACCCCACTGCTCCAGTAGGGTTCCTCTAGCCCCCTTATGCTCACTCTTAACAAAACAAAACAAAACAAAACAAAACAAAACACGAAAACCTCCTGCCTAAAACTTAGGTTGATAGGCTGTTTCTTGTTGAGGGAGACATTCTTCTTAATGGATTGCCAATTAAGGCCCAATTAGACACACCCAAAGAGAAGCACATTCTGTAAATACTGAGCCGACAAACAGTTCCCACTAGAAGAACAAGGCAGACGTCTGGGGGTTCAGCTGGAACCCAAAGATGGCAATAGAACAGAGCGCTTCATTTGCCACACGCTTTCTCAGCAGCCACCAATTCCTCCCTGGGAGGTGGAGAGAGTCCCTGCTGTCAAAGAACTAATTTCCCAATTCTTCCTCTCCTGGTGCAATCTAAGGCATTCTGCTGGCACGGTGGTTGGTCAAACCTCCTGGCTGCCAAGGTCAGTGGTTTGAACTCGCCAGCCACTCCTCATGAGAATGCTGTCAGTCTGTTTCCGTACAGACTTAGAGCCGGGGCAGGCAATGTCCAGCCCGCAGGCCCTGTGAGGCCCAAGAGACCATCCACAACAGCTAACATGGCACCCCTCACCTGAGGAGAAACCCCAGGCATCACAGTAGGGGCGAGTGAAATAAATGTTTGACCAGTATGGCCTGAGAATGACGCTATCAATATCCAATGGCAAAAAACACACAAATATCCAATGGCCTTGGGCAGATAAAAAGTCTCCCCTCCTCTGATGTCGAACCTCAGAGACCTGGTGAGGCAGTCGGTGCTACTCCATTGCAGAGAGCTGATGCCCGTTGGAATCTACTGGGTGGCAATGGTGATGAAATCTATCCCAGGGATGCGCTCCCAGCTGACATGTCGGGGATCCTCCAGCCAGAAGCTCCCCCTTCTAGAACTGGGAACCTCATGGGGTGGCAAGGCCACAGGCCGGTGAGGCTTTGTGTTAGAGCTCACTCTTTGAGTGCCCAAGCACGCACACTCCTTCTGCGCCATGTGTGAAGTAGCTCGTCTTCCACCCCACTTAAAAACGGGGAAACCCAGAGTCAGAAATCTGATCTGAATCCCGAGTCTTAGAAATGAGAACAAACACCAAAGCACAAACAAACAAATGGGGGCTTCTTGGGAATGTCCGTGTTCCATTTCTTAACTTGGGCAGTGGTGGGGGGATGGGGCATTTGTTTAGCTACTGTTGTGTAGATGGTGCATTTTTTCTTCAATATTTCTTTCTATGCATGGCTTATTTCACCATTGGGAACAGTGCCTTCCCCACGGAAGACATCCAACAGCTGTTGGCCATACCTGCCCTTATCCATGGGGCTCTCCGTGGGTGCTGAAAGGATCCTGGCTACTTGTGGGGGCTGAAGCACCTCCAATAAGGTAAAGGTCATGAGCTGCCAGAACATCCCACAGAGGATTCGGCTGTGGGTCCCTCTGTACGGTCTGGCCTCTGATGGCTCTGCCGGCCCTTCACTGGGAGCAGGCAAGAAAAGACCAGTGTCCGCGGAGTGGGACAAGAAGATCATGCACAGGAATCCGAGGAGGCTTGAGTCAAAAGCACTGATGACCAAGAATGGAATCAGGGAACTCGGAGTTCCCATCTTTATGGGCTGTGGACAACAGTAAAGGGTCCCTGAGGAAATGATGTTTTGGTGAGGAGAAAAGTGTTTTTATGAAAGGAGAACGGGCCCCCGAGGGGCGCCCAGGGAAGGCCTCTGGTCTGCCCCCAAACCCTACTTTTCAGCAAGGGCTAAATCCCTCAGGCTGCACCTGGGGTAGGAGAGGTGGGAGGCCGATCATTTCTTTCCCACCTTGTGCTTTTGGTCCCAAGTCAGGACAACCCCAGCTGGCACCTCAGCTCAGACACTCATCCCACACATCAACATTTCGATCGCATGCCGTCTTTTTAACAGGAGTTCGGCTCCACATCTTTTTCGGCACTTTTCCCTCCGTTTCTCCCCGGGGCTGAGTTGTCTCCCCAGTCAAGACACCACAGCACCGCCTTCAAACTAGTAGGCAGCCCGGTAACGGCCAAGGACTAGATGCTGCTGCTGTGGTGGCGGCTAGTACTCAATCAATTCCGACTCATAGCAACCCGGCATTCGAATAGAACTGCCCCGTAGAATGTTCCAGGCTGGAATCTTGACTGGAGCAGATAGCTAGGCCCTTCCGCCCCAGAGTCCCTGGGTGGGAGCCACCTATCAACCTCTCAGCTCAGGGATGATATTTAATGGCTGTGCCAGCAGGGCTCCTTAAGGTCTGCATAATGGCCACAGATGAATCAAGCCTTGAACACACGTGGTTAAACAGTACCACGGCATAGTGACTACTGGGGCTGTGAATCCGAGCGGCTGGGTTTCTGTTGCCCGAGAGACCGCCGAGATCGCCCCTGAAAAGTCACGTCCACCCCCAAAGTATCTGAATGAGCCTCCTGGGAGACAGGTCCCACGTTCACATTCTTGTTACGTCAGTTTTAGCACTGCTCCTTTAAAATTTGCTGCTTAACTTTTTTTTTCTCTTTTCACCGCTCCTCCTCAACCCATAATCACGGATCCCAGGCCATCAGAGCAGAAATTCACAGCACAGCGCAAGATGAAGGGCCACAGAAGGAAGCCCACAGGAGTCCCTGCCACCCTGGCTGCCACGAACAAGGGCATCATCCAAACCTCTCTGGCAAAGACCTAACGCTCCCCTCCCTGGAGGGGCTTCGGAGAGAAAATAGGGCTTCTTTGCCCTATTTTCAAAGATGACTTCCTTAGATGCACTCAATCTATCACAATGCCTGAAGCTGTCACAGAAAACTAAAGCTAGGACCACGGGACTGAGTGACCAATGGCCAAAGCTTAAAATGAAAACAAAAGCAAGTGAGGACTGCTGAGCTGCCTTGGCTGAACACAGGTGGGTGGAAGGTGGAACAACAACAACAACAATAACAACAACAATCAAACTCATCCCCTTCTGGGACCCCCCAGCAAATCAAGAGCCAGTCACTTCCTCCCCAGTTCCAGGGCCCTTGGCGGGATTTTTCCATCACTGGAAAATAATTTGGGACACATTCCAACATTCTCTTTTCCAGGACAGCAGCTCAGGAAAGTTGAGTGATTTGTCTGAAAGCAGACCACGATGCCCTCATATTTGCGTCTCAAGTCCCTGCCCTGTAAACATGTTGTGGTACAGCGAGAGATAAACAGGAAAGGCCCAGCTTGCTCCCTGGGCTCCCACTGGGCAAGGAGGTGCTGCTTCCTGCTCCTGACTACTAGTCTGAGTCCGAACTGTTGTGGGGGACCTGGGAATATTTGCTCTCAGGATGGAGAGGGGCTGGGGAGGGGTCCTTTTCTCACACCCGATTGCAGTTCTGGCTCAGGGAAGTTCAGCAGCTAATTTCAAATGCCCAGTTGCTGCTCCCTCTGTCCCTGATCAGAATGAGGGCGTCACCAGGAAAACAGATAACAGAGGGGGCACGGAAAGGAACAGCTACTTAAGGTATAGCCCCCAGCCCACGAGCACGCCAAGTTGGGGAGGAATAAAGGCCAAGGCTGGAGAGATTCACCCTCTCACTTAAAACAGGAACCGTGCCCCCTGAGCACACAGGGTATACTCCTTGGGCCTGATAAAGCGCAGGCTCCCCCTGCACAGCTCCCCTGGGGTGGGTGGTGGGTGGGGGGAGGGCAGCAGCAGAACCAGAGACCAGGTTGGAGAAACAGCCACCGTTTATTTAAAAGTGCACCAAACCTGCTCCCCCACCCCCATGCCTCCTCAAGCCCAGACAGGTAGCAGGGGCAGGTAAGGGCATACTCACCTGTGCCCCAGTGGCTTCCTGAAGCTGAGTCTCTCAAGCCAAATGAGGAATATCATTGGCTTGTTCTGGGGAAACTCCTTAGTGGCTGCTGCCATAGGATACAGGCTTCCTTTAACATGACCCAGTCCTTTCCGTTCCCCTAGCCCGACCCTGCACCCCCTCCAGAGAGAAATCTCCCTGAGGGATCAATCTTGGAGGCCTCCAAGTTCCTTCCTGGGGCTGGCATCTCTCTCGGCCCCACGGTGAGCCGGCTTGAGAAGCCCAAGCCTGCACAACTTGGGGCCGCTCCGGCAAAGGTGCATTATTGAGCACGGCTGGCTGCTGTTTTCATTGACAGAGGTGTACATCCGCAGCTCACCAATGGGGTCAGCAGCTCAAGTCCGAAAATACTCGGGCCCCGGGCTGCATGGGAACTGTTCCCTGAGATCCTGGTTCTAGCTGCTGGCTCAGCCTGCGTGCAACTTGAACCGAGGCCCCAAAGCAGCCCAATCGCGCTCTCACCACCTGTCAGTCCTCCACCCTGGGGGTTGGTTCACAGGCAGGCACGGATCTCCAAGCACTGGCCGGACCTCTGGCTCCACCTAACGGCAAGAAGTCCACACCCCCCTTTCACAGATGGACAAACTGACTCCAGGAGCCTCCCAAAGGGAGGAAACGAATTCAGCCGAGGGAACTAACGGTCGCCTGCTCTGCCGCCCACCCTGCAATTTCCTTCCCCTGCCTTCCTGCGAGAAGAGAGGGTGATGTCAACTTTTGAGTTCGCATCTTGGATTTCTCCAGCCCTTTGTCTGCGAATAGCACTTCTCACTCACACGTTATTCACATCATCTCCTAGGATGGGTGACTCACCAGAACACCTTCCGAAGAATGGGAACAGGCACGAAACCTATCTGCAAGTCAGAGGCACGGATAGGAGGAGGCCTTTGACTTCCAACTCCGGATCCCAGCCCACCACCCGCTCATCCTCGGTGACCTTTGCCTCGCCTCCCCATCACTTTCGCCTGCTAGGTGGCGTGAGGACAGCGAAGTCGCTGGGCTAGGTTTGCCACGGCAGGTCTGTTGCTCACCTTTAAATCCGGAGGCTTGCTTCGGGATCCCGGGTTGGGCGCCGCGGCCGCGCCTGCATCCGAAGCTGGCCCGCCTGCAGAGAGAGCACCCGTGCCCTCCCCCGAGCGGGGGTCCGCGCCGGGCAGGGGACCAGCGGCGTCTTCCAGCCCCGTCCCATCCTCTTCACCTGGCTGTTGCTGCAGCTCGTCCGATTTGCACCTCTTCATGGTGTATGTGGGTCGACAAGGGGAATCCGTCCTTCCAGCGCGCCGTCTTGGGCGAGACCGCGCCACCGTCTCCACTCCAGAATGAGGCCGAGGACTAAAATGACTAACGAGGAGGGGAGTCAGCGGATCATCATTTCTTAAATTATGACATTTTTTTGAGAAAAGAAAGAAAGGGCGTGAAGGAGGGGCGCGGAAGGGAAGCCTTGGTTACAGCTTGTAATAACACTTGGTGATGGCCCGGGGAGCCGAAGGCAGGTCCCAGGCGAGGCTGGGCAGCAGAAGTCCTTGGGCAGTCACCGGAGGGGGAGCGGGAAGAAGCCCCGACCCCTAAACTTTCTGCTTCAGGGCATGGGCAGGGCGGAGGGGAGCTGGGCGGCACGGCGCATCCCTCCCGGCTGGCCCGGCCGCTGGGCAGGGCAGGGCAGGGGACAGCCCGCGCGCCCGGTGCCCTACGCGGCCCGCAGCCCCCAGCCCGGCC